TCATTGAGTCTCATGGACTTATTTACAAGGGAGACCTGTATAAATAATATAAAAGCTGATCAGCCCATTGATTAAACATCAGCTTAGCATTATTTAGATTATTTTACCAACAAAAGTCAGGGTCAAGAAGAGTTGCTGCAAGTTTTATTTTGAAGGTCAAAAGCTGAATACAATGTTTGGGAATCCTTGATTCTGAGAAATATTTGAAGATATTATGACAAATCTGCAATTGATGGAACGCGGTCCAGATTCAGAATCAAAGGAAGTCTTATCTGGTTCCAGACTGGTTGTTCAATTTCAGTAAAATTTAATTATTTAAATATATTTAACGCTTTATTAGGTACACCTAGTTAGAACTGGACTGGACCCCTTATTACCTTTAGAACTGCCTTAATTCTTTGTGGCACAGAGTCAACTAGGTGTTGGTTGTAGATCAACATGTGTGGAGAAACTTGTGCATTTTTTTATTTTTATCATTAACTATTAATTGCAGATCGCACAGCTTTTCCTGCTTTTATGATCATTTATGTTCATCAGCGCAGTTGATCTAAAAATTTCAAGTACTGCTAATTAACGTGGCACAGCTTTTTTTCCTTTTTTGTTTTTCTTAGCAATTAAGGCGACTCCCACACCTGGCCCATAGTGATAGGAGCAGTGGGCAGAGGTTAGAGAAGGTAGGCCTGTGATTGGAAGGTCACCGGTCCAACTCCCAGTATCGACATCATCAAAATGTGGGTGGGAAAGGTGAAGCACCCACACCTGCCTCTACCCTCATATGCCCCACTCCAGGCCCTTGAGCAAGGCTCTTAATCCCCACCATCTGCTCCCCCGGGAACCCTACACGGCAGTTCTCTGCTCCACAGAGGACTGCGGTAGGTCTGTGGTTGCGTCAGGAAGGGCATCTGGAGTAACTTAGTTCTCTGTGGCGACCCCTAAAGAAGGGAGCAGCTGAAAGAAGGTGGAATATATATAATCTATATAGATATATATCTATATATATATATATATATATGTATATATGTAGATAGATATTATACATATATATATA